GAGTTTGTGGGGTATCGTGAAGGAGCATTGGGCAGCTCAGATATAATTCCTTCATCAGTTGCGAAGCAAGAGAGAATTAGTGGTGATTTGGCTATGGAAATAGGTAAGGTGTTGTCATCCAGTACCCTTATTGCATTTAGTAGTATACAGTACATTAACCCTTTGACTATCGGTGTCGTATAAATACGTCTTACGAGCCAGAGAGAGATTTCAGGATTTGGGGTCTCGACAGTCAAAGGGTTATAGTCCCCCCCCCCCCAACAAGTCGGCCATCTCCCACCGAGGCAGGGTGACCCAAAAAGAAAGAAAATCCCCAAAAAGAAAATACTTTCATCATCATTCAACACTTTCACCTCACACATAATCACTGTTTTTGCAGAGGTACCCAGAATACAACAGTTTAGAAGTATATACGTATAAAAATACATAATATATCCCTCCAAACTGCCAATATCCCAAACCCCTCCTTTAGAGTGCAGGCATTGTATTTCCCATTTTCAGGACTCAAGTCCGGTTATATAAAATAACCGGTTTCCCTGAATCCCTTCACTAAATATTACCCTGCTCACACTCCAACAGATCGTCAGGTCCCAAATACCTTAAGTAATTCATTCAGCATGGTATACTAACTGACAATGTATCTTCTGAGTTTTCTCTCATAGACATACATAGTTTCATATTTAATATGCCTATATTCTGAATTAAGTTATCCTTAACAGACAGGATGTTTATCATGGATAACTTTATTATCTGTGTACATATCCTGCGTGTTGTAAAGTCAACTAAAATGCCAGGAACAATGGGCTAGTAACCGCTTTTCCTGTAATGATTACTAAAAAGAATAAGAAAATTGTCGAAGTGGGATGTCTGAATGTGTGTGGATGTTGTGCGAAAGACGAGAGAGATGATTGTGGATGTTATGAATGAGAAGTTGGATGTCCTGGCTTTAAGTGAAACAAAGCTGAAAGGGGTGGGAGAGTTTCAATAGAGAGAGAGAAATGGGATTAGGTCAGGGGTTTCAAATAGAGCTAGAGCTAAAGAAGGAGTAGCAATAATGTTGAAGGATAAACTATGGCAGGAAAAGAGGGAGTTTAAATGTATTAATTCAAGGATTATGTGCAGTAAAATAAAGGTTGGATGTGAAAAGTGGGTTATAGTAAGCGTATATAAACCTGAAGAAGAGAGAAGTGTAGAGGAGAGAGAGAGGTTTTGGGAATTGTTGAGTGAGTGTGTGCAGAGCTTTGAACCAAGTGTGAGAGTACTTGTGGTTGGGGATGTAAATGCTGAAGTGGGTAAAAATGTTGTGGAGGGAGTAGTAGGTAAATTTGGGTGCCAAGGGTAAATGAAAATGGGGAGACTTTAATTGAGCTGTGTGTAGAAAGACATTTGGTAATAAGTAATACATATTTTATGAAAAAGAGGATAAATAAATATGCAAGGTATGATTAAGCACGTAATGAAAGTAGTGTGTTAGATTATGTATTGGTGGATAAAAGGTTGATGGGTAGGCTCCAGGATGTACATGTTTATAGAGGGGCAACTGATATATCGGATCATTATTTAGTTGTAGCTAGTTACAGTAAGAGGTAGATGGGACAAGAGGAAAATGACAACAAGAGGTAAGAGAGAGGTGAAAGTGTATAAAGTAAGGGAGGAGGAAGTTCTGGTGAGATACAAGCAGCTACTGGCAGAAAGATGGGATAGTGCAAGTATGAATAGTAGGGGGGTTGAAGAGGGTTGGAATAGTTTTAAAAACGCAGTATTAGAATGTGGGGCAGAAGTTTGTGGTTATAGGAGGGTGGGTGCAGGAGGAAAGAGGAGTGATTGGTGGAATGATGAAGTAAAGGGTGTGATAAAAGAGAAAAAGGTAGCTTATGAGAGGTTTTTACAAAGCAGAAGTATTATAAGAAGAGCAGCATATATGGAGAGTAAAAGAATGGTGAAGAGAGTGGTGAGAGTGTAAAAGGAGAGCAGATAATAGAGTGGGAGAGGTACTGTCAAGAAATTTTAATGAAAATAAGAAAAAAATTTTGAGTGAGTTAAACAAGTTAAGAAAGCCTAGGGAACAAATGGATTTGTCAGTTAAAAACAGAGTAGGAGAGTTAGTAAATGGGGAGATGGAGGGAATATTTTGAAGAACTTTTAAAGGTCGACTAAGAAAGGGAGGCGGTAATTTCATGCATTGGCCAGGGAGGAATACCATCTTTTAGGAGTGAAGAAGAGCAGGACGTGAGTGTGAGGGTGGTGCGTGAGGCATTACATAGAATGAAAGGGGGTAAAGCAGCTGGAACTGATGGGATCATGACAGAAATGTTAAGAGCAAGGGGGGATGTAGTGTTGGAGTGGTTGGTATTTTTGTTTAATAAATGTATGAAAGAGGGTAAGGTACCTAGGGATTGGCACATAGCACGTATAGTTCCTTTATATAAAGGGAATGGGGACGAGAGATTGTAAAAAATAGAGGAATAAGTTTACTAAGTATACCAGGAAAAGTGTACGGTAGGGTTATTATTGAAAGAATTAGAAGTAAGACAGAATGTAGAATTGCAGATGAGCCAGGTGGTTTTAGAGTGGGTAGGGGATGTGTAGATCAAGTGTTTACATTGAAGCATATATGTGAACAGTACTTAGATAAAGGCAGGGAAGTTTTCATTGCATATATGGGTTTAGAAAAGGCATATGATAGTGGATAGGGGAGCAATGTGGCAGATGTTGCTAGTATATGGAATAGCTAGCAAGTTACTAAATGTTGTAAAGAGATTTTATGAGGATAGTGAGGCTCAGGTTAGGGTGTGTAGAAGAGAGGGAGACTACTTTCCGGTAAAAGTAGGTCTTAGACAGGGATGTGTAATGTCACCATGGTTGTTTAATATATTTATAGATGGGGTTGTAAAAGAAGTAAATGCAAGGGTGTTCGGTAAAGGAGTGGGATTAAATTATGGGGAATCAAATACAAAATGGGAATTGACACAGTTACTTTTTGCTGATGATGCTGTGCTTATGGGAGATTCTGAAGAAAAATTGCAAAGGTTAGTGGACGATTTTGCTAGTGTGTGTAAAGGTAGAAAGTTGAAAGTGAACATAGAGAAGAGTAAGATGATGAGGGTATAAAATGATTTAGATAAAGAAAAATTGGATATCAAATTGGGGAGGAGTATGGAAGAAGTGAATGTTTTCAAATATTTGGAGTTGACGTGTCAGCGGATGGTTTTATGAAGGATAAGGTTAATCATAGAAATGATGAAGAAAAAAAGGCAAGTGGTGCATTGAGGTATATGTGGAGACAAAAACTGGTATCTATGGAGGCAAAGAAGGGAATGTATGAAAGTATAGTGGTACCAACTCTTATATGGGTGTGAAGCTTGGGTTGTAAATGCTGCAAGGAGACATTTGGAGGCAGTGGAGATGTCTTGTTTAAGGGCAATGTGTGGTGTGAATATCATGCAGAAAATTCAGTGTGTGGAAATTAGGAGAAGGTGTGGAGTTAATAAAAGTATTTGTCAGAGGGGTTGTTGAGGTGGTTTGGTCATTTAGAGAGAATGTATCAAAGTAGAATGATGTGGAGAGCGTATAAATCTGTAGGGGAAGGAAGGCAGGGGTAGGGGTCGTCCTCGGAAGGGTTGGAGCAAGGGGGTAAAGGAGGTTTGTAGGCGAGGGGCTTGGACTTCAGGAAGCGTGCATGAGTGTGTTAGATAGGAGTGAATGGAGACGAACGGTATTTGGGACCTGACAAGCTGTTGTAGTGTGAGCAGGGTAATGTTTAGTGAAGGGATTCAGGGAAACTAGTTATTTTATATAGATGGACTTGAGTCCTGGAAATAAGTACAATGCCTGCACTTTAAAGGAGGGGTTTAGGATATTGGCAGTTTGGAGGGATATGTCATGTATCTTTATACGTATATGCTTGTAAACTATTGTCTTCTAAACACTTCTGCCAAAACAGTGATTATGTGTGAGTGAGGCGAAAGTGTTGAATGATTTATTTATTTATTTATTAATTAATTAATTTGAACATGATACAGAGAAGTACAAGGAATACAATTTTTGAAGTGCAGCATGCCAAAGCCCCTTTTATGCAGAGCATTATGGGCAAGCTTAAAATTAACTTAAGATTAACTAAGCAATGATATATTCAGTGGTACAAAATTTATTGTAAAACAGATAACAATTTAGTTCAAATGAGTATTACAAAGACAGGTCATATGGTCATTTACTGTGTTGCTGTGTAATCAGTAGAATGGAGTATTCTGTTAGTTAATGAAGTTAAATAGTAACAAAGTTTGATTGGGTCACAGGTTGACATTTATGAGATACAATAAGGAAATACATATATGAGATACAATTTATGAGATACAATTATTCAGTATTTATTTAGTTGTGGGTGAGTAAATGATTTTTGAGAAGACTTGAATTTTTAAACTGACAGTGTTTCTTTTATATTCACAGGTAATGAATTCCAGATTTTAGGGCCTTTTGTGTGCATTGATGATGAAAGTATTTTCATTTTGGGGATTTTCTTTCTTTTTGGGTCACCCTGCTTTGGTGGGAGATGGCCGACTTGTTTAAAAAAAAAAATCCTGCAAATCACTACCTAAGTACAATATATTATTCACTTTAAGAGACTTATGATGAGTTTGAGTCTGTTGCTTCCTAATGTTTATTCCTGTTGCAGATTATACAACATGCAAGAGACTAGGTGCATCTTACTGTGCTCTGCCCAAATCCTACCCACAACCCAAGTGCTCTGGCCGAACCAGTCTCTGTAAAGAGGTTCTCAATGATACCTGGGTGTCTTTTCCTTCTTGGTCAGAGGATTCCACTTTTGTCACTTCCCGTAAAACGCAATACGAAGAATATATATATCGATGTGAAGATGAAAGATTTGAGGTATTTGACTATCCTTTTCATTGTCTATGGTTTAGTCTTTCAAAAGCATGGATCAGAATTTTAATAATACTCTACTCTATACGTATTTTTGCATTTTCCTCACATTCCTTGCCCAGTCTCTGTTTTTAGGAGGATAACTATTGAGATTATTAACTCCACAAGGAAATTATCTTGCATGTTCCCTTTCTCCCCAGACAGTTAGGGCCATGATTATTAAGAACAGTAAGACATGTGGTTCCATTTTGCAAAGTGAAGGCAAAAAAAAGAATGAATCACTGTATACGAGAATGCTAAGTACACCAAATACAGGCAAAATTGTGATTGATGGAGTTATTGCAGAGAAGCAGAATGGTTTTAGAATAAAAATGAGATTTGTGGATAAAGTGTTTTTGCTGACATGCATAAGTGACGTGAAATATATAGGTAAGGGAAAAAACCATTACAGGTCTCCCTCAACATTCACGAGGGTTAGGGGATCAAGAGCCTCGCGAATGTTGAAAAATTGCGAATGTTTGGTGCCCCAATATATTGTAGGGAAATATAATACAATACTGCTTCCTTAACTTGTCGAACCATGAACAATCATAAAATACATGAAAACGTCGTAAATTGTACTAAATACATACGTTATGGCTTAATAACATGTATGTTATTAAATACCACTCCCTCCACCACTGCGAGTCCCTACTACCCTCCCTCTGATCCCCCACAACTGGCAGCCAGCCCTCCCACCACTGTGTGGTGAGTGTTTTGTTTGTTCATTATTTGCTATTAAACTACAGTATAAATAATGTCGACCCATTTATGACTGCATATTAGAATGGCTATTCGGACAGGTATTGGAAGGTGACATCATGTGTTTACTCTTGAACACAGCAAAGAATCAAACATTTGTGCTACTGCTACTGCTAATAATAATAATATAATAATAATAATAAATATGATAGAATTGAAGAAGGAAATTGTACAAAAATACGAGGGTTGAAGCAGTTGTGGAGGAAGTGTTTGACGCATCGTCAGTGTGGCTTTGTTTATGCTGGAGTGAGTATTAGTCTCCGTGCTCTTCCAAACATTTCACAACAAGTCATTGTATTTGGTGCTTGTAGATTTATAAAGTTTAGACTGCTATCCTCACAACAACTATCCCACACACCTAGACACCTGCCACTCGCACCACAACCATCTATCCCACACACCCTCAACACAACCTTCTATCCCACACACCCTCAAGATAACTTTATATCCCACACACACTCACCACAACCCTCTTGTCATACAGCCAGGCACCTGGTTGCCTCACCACAATTCTGTCCCTCCCCCAATCATCTACCCCCTTCACAATTATCCCACACACCTGGGCACCTTCTGCATTTTCCTCAGTGTCCTGCATGTATTGCCACTCATGCAAATTCTAGTATCATCTGATAGGATGATATGGTGCTATGATTTATTTCCCTGTCTACGTTTAATGTGAGGATGAGGATAAGGATGGGGGCAAGTACCGTGCCTTGAGAACAGTTTTTATCTGTGGGTGCCTCTGACTTAACTCTGCTTTAAATCTTCACACTCTATTGTTAGAAAGTTAAGAACCCATCTGCCCACTTTCCTTTGGCTATGTTTTTTGCCCACATTTTGGGGATTCTTATACAGGTCGGCAATCAGTTATCCGGTTCCATCAGTAATCTGGCACTAATTTTGGCTAACATAATTTCAGATATCATCATTATACTGACTCAAATTTCATCATTATACTGACTCAGAAACTGTGCAGATGGTTGTAAATCCACAGCAGCAAGCCAGTGGAGGAGAAAGCAGTGATGAAAATGAGGAAAATGTAGCAGAAAGAGTTTCTATTGATAGGTTAATTAAGTGTATTCTAACCTAACCACTCTGTAATCCGGCACACTACAGGTCCCGGGACATTGATGCCAGATTAGTGATGGTCGACCTGTATCATGAACTCAGTTGTTATAGACTTTGGCAATTTCTGTGTATACTGCATCTGCATTTTGTTAGTCTTCCAACACATGTAAGATTGTTGCAATGTATGGTAGTGGTACAAGGCAGGAGCAGCCTGCCTTGTACCACTGCATTCGGGTGTGCAAGTTTCCATAGTATGTGATCTTGCTTCTTAAAACTCTTTCAAAGATTTTTATAATGTGGGACATTGGTGCTATCACTTTTTTTTCTGTCGCTTTCCTACCACGTTTGTGTAATGGGGCTATATCTGTTGTTTTTAATGACTGTAGGATTACCTCTATGTCTGTTCTCCCTTTCCATGGAATATTTAAAACTCGTGTTAAGGGTTTCTTGCAGTTCTTGAAAAAATGGAGTTCCATGAGTTGGACTGGGGGCAGTGCATAGGCATACTGTCACTGGCTTTTTTTCCAACTCCAAAATTTGGAGAAGTTGGAGTTTTAAGTTTCGTTCATGAAGAATTCATTCAGGTTGTCAGCCTTTAGCCTGATGAATGGCTTATCAAACACAGTGATAGTGAGGCTTCATTATGTCACTGATTTCCTTGCTATTGTCAGGGTAAGTTCCATCATGTTTGAACAAGGGTCATATACTCAATGTGGATTTTGTCCTGGATTTAGATTTCTTCCACTTTCATTAAATGCTATTAGATTTCTTTGTGTTTCCAGGACTCTTCATGATTCACACTACCCAATATTTTCTTCTGAACTTCAGACAGCCTTAGCACTCTTGAGAAGTTCTGTGATTCTGTCTTCACCTGTGGAGGGCATGTCTTTTTCTACCTAACGGATTCTCTTCTTATTCCTTGGTGTCATGTGCATTGATCATGCTTCTGATACTAAAGAGTTGATCTTTAGACACTGGTTCACATCCATGATGCATCTTTGATGGGATTTGAGTTTTCCTACTTCCATAGCCTGGCCCTGGGCCCGACCTATCTTGTGCTTCCCTGCTCAACCAGGCTGTTACTGCTGGCAGCCCATTGGCCCACATATCTATTAAAGCATAGTTGATCCTGTATTAACTATCCTAACCCTAATGCTGTGGTGTGGGAGAACAGGTAGCTAGTGGGGTTTCACTAGAATCTAGTACTGCTTCTGGTTTATGTGAATGACATTCCAAATGGGAATGATTCATAGATAGATAGATAGATAGATAGATATATATATATATATATATATATATATATATATATATATATATATATATATATATATATATATATATATATATATATATATATATATATATATATATATATATATATATATATTTTTTTTTTTTTTTTTCAACAAGTCGGCCGTCTCCCACCGAGGCAGGGTGACCCAAAAAAGAAAGAAAATCCCCAAAAAGAAAATACTTTCATCATCATTCAACACTTTCACCACACTCGCACATTATCACTGTTTTTGCAGAGGTGCTCAGAATACAACAGTCTAGAAGCATACACACATAAAGATACACAACATATCCCTCCAAACTGCCAATATCCCAAACCCCTCCTTTAAAGTGCAGGCATTGTACTTCCCATTTCCAGGACTCAAGTCCGACTATATATATTTATTTATTTATTTTTTTTTTTTTTTCCTTCAACAAGTCGGCCGTCTCCCACCAAGGCAGGGTGACCCAAAAAAGAAAGAAAATCCCCAAAAAGAAAATAACTTTCATCATCATTCAACACTTTCACCACACTCACACATTATCACTGCTTTTGCAGAGGTGCCCAGAATACAACAGTTTAGAAGCATATACGTATAAAGATACACAACATATCCCTCCAAACTGCCAATATCCCAAACCACTCCTTTAAAGTGCAGGCATTGTACTTCCCATTTCCAGGACTCAAGTCTGACTATATGAAAATAACCGGTTTCCCTGAATCCCTTCACTAAATATTACCCTGCTCACACTCCAACAGATCGTCAGGTCCCAAGTATCATTCGTCTCCATTCACTCCTATCTAACACGCTCATGCACGCTTGCTGGAAGTCCATATTTGCTGATGTAAAACTAATGAGGAGAATAAAAACAGATGGGCTTAAGGAAAGGTTGCAAATGGAACTGGTCACATTGCAAGGTTGATCAGATGATATGGCTGTTTAATTTCAGTCCCAGTCAATACAAGGTCATGGAAATCGGGAAGGGAGCAAGAAAACTGAGACCTGAGTATAGACTAGGGAAATAGGCAGCATACTTCAAATTGCAAGGTTGGTCAGATGATTGGTTGCTTAATTTCAGTTTCAGTCAATACAAAGTCATGGAAATTTGGAAAGGAGCAAGAAAACTGAGAATGGAGTATAGACTAGGGAAACAGGCAGCAGACTTCTCTCAAAGAGAGAGACCTAGGAGTGAGCATAGTGCCCAGTATAATTCCAGAGGCTCAAATCAGCCCAATAACATCTGTAACCAAGGCTCGTCTGGCAAATTTAAGAGTAGCCTTCAGGAATCTTAACGAGACATTCCGGGCCTTTGATACAGCATACATTGGGCCTGTTTTCGAGTATTCAGCACTAGTGTGGAACCTGCACTACCTGAAACAGCACATTAAGAAACTAAAGAAAGTGTTGAAGTATGCAGTGAGGCTTGTTCTTGAGTTAAGGAGCATGAGCTATGGGAAGAGGCTAACTGAATTGGAACTTACAACATTGGAAGACAGAAGAACCACCGGGAAGAAGACAACATACTAAGTTCTCGGGGGAATTGACAAGGTAGAGAGGCTGGAAGGGGAGCTTGGAGGCATTGTTGGAAGTTAGACCCAGATGAGCCACAGATATCTTAAGAAGTATTTCTTGAGTCTGTGCTCAGGACGTGGAATGAATGATCTTGGTGAGGTAGTGGTGGTTGAGTGAATGGGTGGGGAGTTTTGAACCAAGTGTGAGAGTACTTGTGGTTGGGGATTTCAATGCTAAAGTGGGTAAAAATGTTGTGGAGGGAGTAGTAGGTAAATTTGGGGTGCCAGGGGTAAATGAAAATGGGGAGCCTTTAATTGAGCTATGTGTAGAAAGAGGTTTGGTAATGAGTAA